TTCCAACCTTAATGATTCTATGATCTTCTCTATCCTCACCATTTTTTCTTCCAATAAGTTATTTAAGAAAAAAAAAAAAATCTAAAAAACCATGCAGTTTAATGGCAGTATCAGACATCCACCAATTAAAACTTAGAACTATGCTATTTGTGCAGTCTTCATTTTTTTAGTACCAATCATATCGCAGTTAGGCAAAAAATAAACTGTTATCTAACCTTCATCTTGTCCTTTGAGGAACTTGCGAGTACTCTTCAGTAAATTAGATCTCATTCGTGTTAATTGATCCAAAAGATTTCTTCTGGGTATGTCATAAGCATTTCTAAAAGTCTGAGGTTTCAAATCCTATGGTTCCAGTAAATAAAGTTCCAATTAATACCTTGTATGAAACAATATCTAGCATTTCAATGGAAGTATATTGAAAATAACAACATTACACACAGTGGTGCTTACCTTATTCAGCAAAGCTATTTGGAACCCAGCATACTCCTTCATATTGAGGTCTAGAGGTCTATGAGGAATTTCCCCAGTAATCCCCTGTAGCAGATGTTGAAAATCGTTCCTATGTGCCATAGACAGGTTGTGTGATCTGCTTCTGACCTTAATTCCAGTCTCTTGCGCTACCTTTTTGCCTACAGAGCCAATGACTCTATCGGACTCTATTTTGGCCTTAATTTGAAATAAATAAATAAATAAAATTGACAATATGCTCTTAAAAGGAAGGATTAGTCAGACTTATTCATTTTAAATTCCTACCTAGAAGATTCAACAATGTGCTAATACACTATGACGACCATAACCAGGATGAGTGCTTAAGGAGTGCTTAATACATAACCACTTAATGCTTACTACAGTTTTAAATATAGTGAACAGTTTGTGCCTAGGTCTTCTGCATATTTCTCCTCTGCTGCCCATTATGGTATCTAAGCACCAATATGCATGCAATGCTTTTATTTTCATAAAATGCCATAATTTAACTAGTAATTCTCTGCAAATCTATCTGTACTCACATAAACTGTTTTCTATGACAACAGCTAAACACTAACTCTCAAAAGACTGACTCTCCCACAACTATAGTTGCAATCAGTCACACAATGGTATCAACTTTTTAAAAGCTCAATACTAATATTTATAACATTAATAAATATGAAATACATGAAAACACCCAATTCTGTTTGACTAGACAGACCTAACACCCAATATTATGTTAGGTTTGTACCAAAATTAAACATGTTCATAAACACCAGCTTTTTGGCAGAATACAGTTGAACAAAGAGCCAGAAGTAATTTAGTAATATACTTGCCAATGTTTGTTTTGCAGTTTCACATAAATTTGTAGACTACTCAAAATTTGACTATGTACTTATTAAGAATACTCAGTCTCTACTGGCAGAGCCCTTCAGAAGTTAGAAAAGCTTTAAGTAAATTTGCAGTGCACTGCAGCGCAGTCATTACATTTTAGGAGTCTAAGATGTCTAGGTTGAGAGATTAGTTCACAGAATACTGAGCAATATGACTATGTTTAATAGGATATACCGGAAACTTCAAGGGGTTTGCTTCCTCAAATAATCATTTATACTAATGTTTTTAGAAAAAGCTGGTCCATAAGAACTCATTAGCTAAATTACAAGTACTTGCACTACTGTTTCTTTTCTAGCCTTCTGCTTTATTTTATTATCTTGAACAAGAAAGCTTAACATGCACAGTTCAACAAAATAAAAGTGGAGGTAGCAGGGCAGAAATGCTTTAGCTGGTGCAGGAGACTAGTCAAAGATACGGGCACTATTCTGAACACAGTCAACAATTTCAAAAGGTCACTTGCCACTTCTAGGTCTGTATCCTTATTTGAGATTCTGAATTATGTCAGTTTACTTTATATTTACTTCCTATTTCATTTCACAAGCCAAAGACAGAACACTTCCTGATTCAGATGCACAAAGTACAAATCTCTACTTTCTGAAAAAATGCCACAAAATCTTTAATATCTAAGGTAAGACAACATGTTTTCTTTTGGACAAAAGTATGTTACTGTGTATACAAGTAAAAATGCTCCTTAAATACAAAAAAATCTCAATTTGTACCTCCATATCTATCTTTATAGTCCAGTCTATAAAGTCTATATTTAAATGTCAAGTTTTCCTTCAATTCAGAAAACCAAAATGCTATTTTGCTAATTACTTATGGGGAGGTATTAACTTGATCTTTCTGCTCTTTCTTCCTTCAAAGCCATTGAACTTGAGTATTTTAAGATTATCCTGACATTAGAGTAAGTTTTTACTGCTCTTTTGCTTCAACATTACCTGCTGACTCAACTTTTTGAGATATGAAATGACACTGTAACTAAGTCCATATTCCACATTGTCAGCTATAAGGTTTGGTGCTCCCATCATTCTCACAGCTTTCTTCAAAGGCTGAAACATGGAATATATTGTATAGTCATATTTAACTTTATAAGTGTTGTATACATACTTAACTATCCATTTCAAATAGAACATTAAGTCCTCAAAGTTAAAAAAGAAGAAAAACAAAAACTTTCAGGGCAGCATTTTTTGTTGCTTTTTTAAAGCATTGTTCCATTCATACAGAATCAATTATTAACAGAGATATCATTTATATACAAGTCACAGCTGATGAAATTTTCTTAACATTCAGATCTCAAGTCTTCCACAGGACTCCAGTGAAAACAGTAAGTATCATTATACATGAAATTTAGCTAGTCTCTCTTAAATTAATACATATTCTACTTGAAATAGGGAATACACCCATAGTGGAAAGAACTATAGTTATATAATAAAATAGAAATTTTAACACAGTAAGTCATCTTACCCCAAGATAATAAGGAGGCATTGTCTTCAAATAGCTTTCAAATGACTGTCGCCATTTCAACGTAGGCTTTGCCTTGTGTACTTTAAACAAGTCATCTGATGGTTATAAAAAGAAGAGACAAAATGAAAGGCATGTCTAGACAGCATTGCATCTTTTTTTCTAATAAAAGAAACTCTCAAAGAAATGCCAATTCCTCAATGCTTAAATTAACATATGTAATTTAACATATATACAACTAAATATACACATACACAAGATTAATGCTGCAGCCAAGAGATGGAACCTGATAAATTATTTATCAAATTGAATTGGTAATTGAGACAACAGATTAGGAAAAATGGCTCCTAAACTAATGAAAAAAGTGAGACCAAAACATATCTGAAAGAATGATGATTAAGTAAATCATCTTACACATTGAGTCTGAGTCATGAAGATCAGCCAATTGGTGACAAGCGAAACAAGTTACTGATGACAAATACATTGCTCAACATTCTACCTTTCTACAGGTGTGTGATTAATACTGGCATTAATTGCAGTAATCTATTTAGATGAGATCCATTTTTCAATTGCCTACCACCTAAGAAAATTTTTATAAAGTGGTATTTACCTAGCAATGGAAGGAGGACTGGATAATTGTAAGGCATCACAAATAAATTCACACAATTCAGCGCTGTACTAGCTTTCAAGTAACCAAAAGGATGACCAAGTTCACTGTATTTTGCACTATTGCTCACATATACCTGCAATAAAACACATTATATTGCATGTAAATCCAAAATATTGTGTGCTGAAATTTTACATGCTATTTTGATTATAGAATAAAGTCTATGAAAACAGCATTCTGTAAATAACTTCAATTCAGCATGCACTCTACTTGCCTGCCAGCAGGTCTGAGGGGATTTTCTTTCCAGGATAAACTGGGTCAGTGGTGAAGGTTCTAACTCATATTTATCAAAAGGCAGTTTGTCAATGACCATCGGTTCACAGTCAGTACAGGAAAATTTCACCACAGGATGAGATGTGCGAGGTGGCTAAACATAAGCATTCCACTGTTAATAAGTCTGCACAACGATTAAAATGCAATAGTGCTATGACAACTAAGGTAATACAGATTCTTTGAAAACAGACATATTTAAGGAGCCTGTTCAATACAGGATACATATTTATTGTTAATGAGTCCTAAACAACTAATTTATGATGTTAGCACAGTTTTAAAATCTGAAGGACTCTTATTTTCTAAATAAATGCCAATTATTTTACCTAGTAAGTCTAGAACAGTATGAAAATAAAACTTCTTGCATATACACAAAAATTTTGCAAATGGAAGTAAATCCCAGTGGGGACAAAAAAAAAAAGCTACTCTGGGGCATGCCCATTTTTATTCCCCACAGAAGCAGGCACTGTACTTTTGCATTTGCTGACTTCCTCCAGCACTACTTCTTCTTGGCAAATTTAACAGTTACAAAATTCAAACTGAATTATAATGACCAAGAGCAGCACAAATTCAGAAAAAACAAGCTCTAGAAGAACTTAAATTTTAACTAGGCCTGTGAAAAGTTATTTCAATTTAAGCAATTTAAGTGTTTGGATTTTAATCTTGTTATTAATCACAGGGAAAAGGCCTTTGTGCCTCGAGTTTCAACTATAAGTTAACAACATATTTGAAATTTCTTTTGCTGAAAGGGAAAGCTGATTTTTTGTGGTGAAAATTGGAGCTGTATGCCTTCTACTGAAGGGTTTTCAGGAGAAGCTCTTATACTTACCCCGAGCCTCCTCCAAGGCCACTAGAATCTGGAGAAGAGCTCAATTGGGAAGCCTCCTTCCATTTACTCTCTTTACAAGAACGTAACTAATAAATACATAAGATGAACTAGGGACCTTCCTACCACCTCACCTTGAAAGTAATTTTTCTATATCTATAAGGTCTAGCCTCTTCCTTTTAGGATGAGCCACCCAAATGTTATCTGCCCACAGAGCTGGTCTTGCCTTGAGTATCTCCACTCTGAGGAAGATGTACTGTCCAAGTGCACACAAAACAGGAGGCCCAACCAACTGAAGGAACTGCAATTCTCTTCAAAGAAGATGCCTCCAATTAATAGTTGTGGTGGAGTTTTTGACCAAGCCATGAAGCAGTTATACTAGGAATAAAAAGGCTGCAAAAGAAGTTGAATGCTAAGACTTGAGAAGTCAAATAACCCTTGACTGGACAGCAGAACTATTTTTACCTCAGAGCAGTGGGAGCAGCCATTTACATGTTGATCTGCCAACTAATTATTAGCAGACTTTCATATACATTTAAGAAAGCCTTGATAGTATCATTACATATGGTACACGAAACAGTTGTTGGGGTAGGACTGTTTGAGACAACTCCAACTGTGGATCAGGTAACAGGGAAGAAAAAAATACCTAACTATGGACTCTTAAGTAGACAAGAGTTACAACATACGCTAAGTTTTAACACTCTATTTTCAGAACAGTAAGGAAATATAAGTCCTGAAACACTATCAGCAAACTTAGCTCCCCAACATTGCATAAGGAAGGTTCAATGTGGAATTCCAATTGATGTCATCAGGAATTTAGCTGCACGTGCAATAATCCAGTGCTTTATGCAGTTATGAGAACTATACATGCTACAACTGAGAGAAGAATTTTTTCTCATCTTCTTGCCATTTGGGTAAGTCATCGTCATGTTTTTAGCAGATTTAGTTCAACAACTCTTCACTTGGCAAGATCTATTTTAGCAATCTCAATCAAGATCTGCAGTAGCAGACAAACTGTACTGACTCTATACAGTGCATGTAGGCAGATATGCCATTGATAGTGATTACAAGGAGTACACAGAACAGTTTTCCTACAGAGCAGCTTTTTAATATCCAGTACACAAGGACGTTTTGTTTTTTAAATGACTATAAAAGATTTACTTTTATTCATATATGCTAGCTTGCTTTGTAGTTCAGAAGGGCATCCACGTCCTTCAATGAATGTGACCACAGACGCCAGCAATACCAAACCTGTAAATACGACTAAAATTTCATACTTGTATTATTCCTCAACAACCTGTATTTCAAAGGACTTTATATATTTTTCAAACAAAGGAGATAAAATTTATGAAAAGTTCAATGAGTTTGCTAGTCAGCACACTAGTTTCACATTAAAAAACCACAAAAATTCAACAAAAATCATTATGAAATGTTAGGGAACAATTATACAACTGCATTATTTCTACTTTAATGATTTTCAAAGATTAGCAGAAATATAAAAATACATTATACTATACTAATGATTAGTTCTCAGACCAAACAAAAGGCAGTGGCATACATTATTTTATGAAAAAGAACAAATAAAATTAATTCTGTGGGTAGTATTTAAAAAACAAGGTGAGTTTCTCTACTTGGGATAAATTGAAAGTATGGCTACACTGAACAATAGCAGATGAAATTACATTCACCTGCTAGAATGAAGGCAGAACTATCACAAGGATTCAAAATTGGGAAGATCATACTATCTTCTATTAATACCATCTGCGAGGCAATAGAATTTGATAGTCTATTATCAAAGTGCCACATTATTTCTAGTTTGATATTTTAAAAGAGTTCAAACAGAAACACTCATGCATGTACTAGGCTGACAAATAAATCTGTTACAGGCAGTTTCTTAATGCTTCAAAGCTACTAAAAAGCAAACCCCATAGTATTATTTGCTCATCAGTAACTTATCCGAGATAACTGCAACACAGGTTTACATGTGTCATTCCTTCTTGGGTCATACTGCTTTTACGGTTGCTACAATGAAGTACGTATCTCAAGATTTAAAAATCAGTTAATAGGAAATCCTGGAATATTCCCCCATGCACAAACCCTTTACTTTATCTAACTTCAGTACATACCAGCGTTGGAGAATTTTGATCTGGCCAAAAGGATTCAGGAACAGGCCAATGACCTATAGGAACCCCAGTTTTAGGGTTTGGTCTGACATAAATAAGTTTGTGACAGCTGTGCCAAGGTTGGGGTCCAAAGGGTCTAGATATATCCACCTGCCCATCTGCAGAAGAAAAAGGCTTTATCAGTCAAAATAGTTAAAACTTGAAAAAAGTATTAAACAATTTCTGTGAAGAGTTTAAGAACTATACCCCAGGGAAGCTCTTCCTGCAGTTATTATTATTTCTAATAATAGCAGATAGTTGTCAGTAAGCATTTCTGCAAAAACCCAGAAACTATGAGAAACCAAATAAGCACTGAATGTTTACAGGATCAGAGCTGAGAAAGCCAATTATCTGGGGCCCTTCATAATAATCAGTTTCTTTCTCCTCCCATTGTTATTACCAGATGACCTCCAAATCTCCATGCATAAAAAAAAATTGATACACACCACTAATACTGCTGGACTAACTTTTTATTGCAGCAAAGCAGGATTAAAAAAATCCCACAAACACTTCACAGTAGCATCTTAAGAGGGACCTAGCTTAGCCATTTAGAACGAGAAGTTAAGGCTGCACAGTCGTATTTGCTATTTTAACTCTTAATGCAGCTACTTTACTACATTAAACAAAATAGGATAAGCGTATAAACCCACAGTATTTCCATATCAAGCTATTTACATTTCTAGCTGGTTGAAAACTACTGCTTAAAACTCATGAACCCATTTAACTATGCTTGACGTGAATAACTACATTGAAGACTACCTGAGTAATATGACCAAATGTAGAGATTTTACACACTGTCTAGTAGCTATAGCCAGTATTTTGAAAAAGTACAACAGAATTTCAGACGTAGCAGGTCCTTTTCGCAGTAATGTCTTTTAAATTGCAACAGTTTTCCTTTTGTTTTGGGAACTATTATGTTAAGTTCACTAACTGATATTGATAGTCATCCCTGTCAATTGATATCAAAGTGTAAAAAATTTCAAGTACCATCAATTGGTGAGGGATCCGGTCCAGCTTTTTCAAAATTTATTACCACTCCACTTTGCACTTTTTGCACCAATGACTCAAGACACTGATTCAGCATTCTTGGAGAGCATACACAATATGATCGACCTAGAATGAAACAGTCAAGGTTAAGGTCATTCAGTGTTTCTGCCCTTATTTTAACTTGGATCATTCAAAACTCTTCACCTGCCACACACATTGATTTATGTATGGATCACTGATTTGAAGCTTCTCCCAAACACTCCCTCTTTGTTTAAGCAGCAAGGCAGCTTAATGAAACAGTGACAGTTACATGCACCTCATTGGAAATGTTTGCGTTTTAGCCCCTTAATGACTTTAACTCAAATTCTTGGTTGCATTCATGGAAAATGGGCTCCCCCTTGTGACAGACATCGACACTTAACTGTCCACAAATTTCAGTCAAAGCACTGTCAGTATAGTCTACATTACAGTCAGAAAGCAGTGGAATCAAATCCTTTTGGAATGCTTTTTAAATCCCTTTGTTTGCTTTCCATCACATTCCCTCCGATGCATCAGAAGAATCATTATGTTTTTAGTATGTGATGTAATCAAATACTTTTACAAACAAATTATAAAATTAATGCCTGAGTTTGATCTGGAATATAATTTCTAAGAGATTAAGAATATCAATTATGATGGAGAGAAAAGTATCAATTTTGCAGAATTATTATGCATTCTGCATTGCTCTGGAGGGAAAGAAGCCCAAACCAACCCAAGACATTTCCTTCACTTTTGGTTTCTTTAGATCAGAACATGACAGGAATTTAGCAAAACTGTACTGCAGAACAGACTCAATTCTTAATTTCTAATTGTCATGTCAAGGTGCATAAGAAAAAAAGTAAGTTTTCTCTTCTAAAAAACTGCTAAAGAAAGTAGATTCACACTCTTCCAAGACAGGTTACATTAAACTGTCCGTAGCTTTAATGCAATGTGTCTTTAGTTTTATTGTATCGAGTTCTGAGTTTTTACATGTAATATAAGAACTTAGAAATACTTATTCCATGACATGTACATGATTAATAGAGCTAAACTGAATTCATTTTCATTTTCAAAAGTATTGACTTGTCAAAGGAAACCAGGGCACTCACCTCCTGTGACTTCGCACATAGGTGTGATTGCAGAGTCATCCACCGGTACCCCTGTCATCTGCTCCGATTCCGGTGCTGTAATACCAGGCAAACGAAGAACCAAAGCAAATAACCTCTGATCCCATCGAAAGGGTTCCTTAGTCAACTCACTTCCAGGTAAAGGGGAATTGAGAGGTAAATGGAGCTGAAAAGGAATTTAAATCTGTGAATATATTGCTTTAAAAAAAAAAAATTCAGGTTACATAGTGATGGCAATTCACTCTATATAAACGCACTTATAACCTCTCCACAGATATTTATAATTTGGTTCAGGTACTGTACATTACAAGCAAGACACCCATCATCTAATCAACACTTCAAACATTTCAAGGCAACATGATGCACGAAGTTGAGAGCTACAAACCAAGTGGGAAAAACCACATTTTAAAACTGACGTAATTTTCATAATCAATAGAATATTTTCTTTAGAATTTCAGCAGTAAGAACTGCTTCACTGCAGTTCACAACAATTCTTTTGTTCAAACGATTCTCTGCAGAACAGGCCCATTCTCAGCTCAGTCTTTTCCTTGATTCTTCAAGATAAAAAGCACAACTGAATGAAAAGGCAGTGTTAATCTAAGACTCCTGCAGAAGTAGTATAACTTGGGTATAGTTGCTCAAAAATATCTAGCTGCCAGGATCACCTACTCCAAATAACCTAACTTCAACAAGTGAACTAATGTGGTAGTTATGTTATAGAATCAGAAGGCAGAGATTTTACATAACTTGGGTATATCCCACAACTAAACTCATGCCTGTGCTTTAAGTGAAAACCAGAGATTAAGATTAAAATCAACACAGAAATGCAAAAATGAGTTCTCACTTTTAGGTAATAGATAACAATAGCCACAGCTACCCATAAAAGGAAGAATTGCTTGCCACGTGTCATTGTGTTGCCTCTGTCTGGGAGAACTACACAGAAGTTTTAGTTCAAAATATTGAAGATACCATCCAGGGACATACAATACATGGGAGCATTTCTTTTTGCTTTAATTCCCAGAAGGGACAATAAAGAGATTCAAGTTTCAGGCTTCAAGCATGCTGCACTAAAGATACAGCAATTCTCAGGATATTATTTATTAACCACTAACAGCAACAGCCAGAGAGACTAACAGAACATCTAAAATTCCCAGGGTTAGTGGTAGTTTTATAATTAGTTAACTGGAACAAGAAAAAAAAAAAAAAAAAAAAATCAATGCTTTAGCTTCTGAGGGACAGCACAAAGGCATTTAGAAGACTCTAGCCTCTCTTTTGGCATCCAGATACCTCATACAGAGATTAGTGGGAAAAAGAAAGCTTATCAAAACATTCAACTACAGAAGCCCTGAACAGATAGACTAGACTTATAACAAGTAATTACAAGTATCAGAAAAATTTGATAGAACTGTGGCTGATGATACCACTGTCAATACAAGCAAAATTCTCATTTCATCTGGAGCACTGCAGCCATAAAGGGGAAAAAAAATCCCCAAAGCAATGACTCAAGTGGTGCAAACAGTTCCATTACCTCACCAAATACAAGGGTTAAGCCCAAAACCTGAAGCAAACTCAACAGTTTCTCAATCACTTTCCTTCTCATGCAGCATTCAAAAAATCCCAATTCTCAATCTCAACTCTATGTTAGCAAAGGGAACTACTAGTCTATTCCAAAACTTCATGTAAGTCCACAAAAGCACCCATGACAAATTGGCTTCATTTTTAGTTCATAGTGGTTAGTTAAGGAGTTTGCAACAAGCCGTTGAAAAAGTTTTTTTGTTTGCCTGTTTTTAAGAGAAGAACTTCAAAGCATTGAACCTAATTTCCAAACTGGAAGCCTCAGCTACTTCTATTTACATAATTGCAAGCATCTCATATTGGGAAAAAATACATGTCTTTGTGTTTGAAAAATAATCAATTTATTGATACAATCTCAAAGCTAGGAACAAACACAACAAACCCACTCTCCTAACATGAGCAAGAATCAGAACACTGGAATTTTCAGCGCACCTGATGCTTCCTCCTGAATTTTTGCTTTTGCTGATGCAAGCAGACAGCACGTGTGAGAAGAGCACTATTTTCCCCAATGTTTCACATGAAATTGGTCAAAGGGCACTCAGCTATGTACCTAGTTTATTACTGATTCACATGCATGTCTTTCCCCTTTTCACACAAAGAGCCAGCAATGTCTGCCTGGCAAAGGAAACTCAGTTAAAAGATTAGCCACATTTTTAGTAAACAGCCTAGAATCTTGACTGTAAGAGGACTCAATTGCAAGCACTACACCATCCTCACTTGGGGCTATTATTAAGGAATGCCATTCACCAAACTTTCCTAGTTAGATCTGACTGAACAGAAGACTTACTAGCTCTGAAGAGTACATTTCAGCTGCAAAACATACTTATGTAACAGCACTGTTTTTCTTCAGGCAGCATATATACATTTTTTTAATATATAT